TCATTTGCAGCAGTCAAGCAGTGTGGGAGTATCTGCCCAGTGCTGCACCACTGGTTCTCCAGTCCATGTGGGTTTCCTTGGCACCCCCTGCCCAGCCCATGAGGCCTTGCAGTGAGGTTACACCAACTTGGAGCTTACTAGCTGCTGTCCTTTATACAGTTTATATCTCCAGTACCCGGCATTATGTTTTATGGCACACATGGCCCGGCCTGACAAAGTGACATTTATGTCAGATCTGGCCCTTGTAACAAATGAGCTCGACACCTATGGCTTAAGGGGTCCCCAACATGTTGTTCACTGACTCCTAGGGTCTACCAACTGTTTTTATGGGAGGTGGGCAGGGGCAGGTAGAGCTTGTGCCCAGCAAGGCTTCTGATTGGCTGTGTGGCTTATAAGGCATCCTGTCAAACAGAGATTCTACCTTAAATGTTGAGAAGTTATGCATAACCTTGCTCCTTAATATTTTGTAGTTGCAGGGGTGGAAACTAGTCAGAGGGTCAAAAATACTGATTTTACTGACCAAAATTCCAAAAAACCTGACAAATTACTGAACAATTTAATGTCAGCCTGCTGATAAGCTACTGTTTTAAATGTAAAACTAGGACTTTATTAAAAATAATTATTATCTGTCCTTCACCATCACCATAGCCAACCCCATAGTTAGATGTGACCTAGATAATGACTAGAGGACAATGTTTTCATTATTGTATACAATTTAAGGCAAAACAGATTCTCTTTTTAAAATAATAACATATTGCAGATAATAAAACAGCAAACCAGCAAAAACATATTAAAAATCAAACATAAAGTAATAATTATGACAACAAAACATAATTACTGTAAGGTAAGACTTGTGTTTGCTTTTACTTTATCTTTGGTTTTTGATGAAAAATGAACTGGCCAGCAGCCTGGCATCCCTGGTGGAGGCTGTGTCAGGCTGGGCATTGGAACACCCTAGACTGATTGTCCTGCCACAGGGTTTTTTTGTAGAAAAAGCCCAGCAGGAACGAATTAGCATAATAGGCCACACCCAACAGCAGAAACTCATTAGCATATTAGGTCACACCCCTAACAGAACAGCTCTTTGGCATACTAGGCCACACCCCCATGTCTTCCTTGGCTTGCCTGGGCAAGCCCCCCCTTGAAGGGAAGGCAGTTTAAACTGCCTTCCCTTGGTTTGCCTGGGTGCCCCACGGCTGCAGGGAGACTGGGCAAACTGGCCCTTGGACAGGCTGGGGAAAGCACAGGGAGGCATTTAAATACCCGATCCTTCCAGGGGCCCCCCTGGCCCACCCGCCTTGGAGTTGCCGGGGGGGGTCGCTCTCCAGGCCTTCCCTTTGTAGCCATACATGCAGAGGTTTTGGCTATAGTGGGCACGGCCAACTCTGAAGCCAGCTGGAACTCCATTCCTGTGCGTTCCTGCCCCAAAATAGCCGTGGTCCTGCGTGCTTTCAATGTCCATGCGGACAATGTGGCTTCCACTCAGGCGATGGACCTAGTGTCATCCATGGTGGCACTGAGACTCTCCCAATATGTAACGACTCCCAGTCACCGGGCCGGACACACACTCGATCTGATCTTCGCGGCAGAGATCACAGTGGACTGGGTCACTGCCTCAGCGGTGTCATGGTCGGACCATCATTCCCTGAAGGCCCATCTGAATGTTTCACCCCGACCCTGTTTGGGCGATGAGCAGATTTCAGCTCGCCCATGGAGCCAAATGGACCCTATGTGGCTTCAAATGGCCCTGCGGGATCCTATGCCCTCTGGCGGCTCATTAGATGAGCTTGTGGAGGATTGGTACAGCTGACTTTCAGCATCCATTGATGAGATCACTCCCCGACGCCCTCTGCGCCCTCACTCTAGGCTGGCACCTTGGTTTACCCAGTTGTGGCTGATGAAGTGAAGGCTAAGATGGCTAGAGAGACAGTAGCAGTGCGCCTGCGACGAAGCCACAAGAACATCTTATAGGACATTTAGGAGGTCCTATGAGATGGCTGGCAAAGCCACTGAGATGTTAGCCAAATTGCCTTAATTTCTTAATTAATATCGGGGAATTATGATTATTAAAATTGGCAATAGGCAAATTAGGGAGCGAACACCATTGTATACAGAGGTTCCACTTTTCCAGTAGTTACCAGTAACAGACATGGAGACTGTATTCAGTAAAATATGGTGTACTTTAAGATATTTATCATTCAAACAATACACAAGCACACACACACTTATACAGATTCTAAGAAATAAAGACAGATAATAAGCACATTCGCATTAGCAGGATATTTGTTGGTTGGGCAATAATTACCTGTCCTCGCTGAATGAAACGTTTCCATGGAAAGAGGGGAGAATAGAAAATAGGGTACGTGTCCTGAACCGGCAGGCAGCACGTGGAACTCTAGCTGCAGATCTAGAGTCAAAGATGGAGGGAGGGTATTGGGATAGCAAGTTGGACATAAGAGGGACAAAGCTTAGATAGGGGTCGTTGAGAGAGAGACCATGTGGTCGGGTAGCACCTTTTATAATGTGGGGGGGGCAGGCTAGGCTGGCCACATCCCCCTGTGACACCTCCTGTTAGTCTGTCCCATAAAACATACTATTGGGTAGAAGGAAAAGGGGAGGAGAGCTAGGGGGTGGTCACTATTGAGAACTAGTAACTTAATCTGGAGACTGGCACCTGGATGAAGAGTAAATGAATCATCGGGCTAGGGCTATTGTCTCTTGATGGCCCTAGCCAGGTTGTTGATGGGCGATTGATTAGTTGCCAAGCAACTGCAGGGGGAGCCTCTTGATTAGATTTGCAGGTAGCTGGAAGAGGGGGAAAAGGGGTTGTCTGTGTGTATCAGATGGAACTCCTAATGGCGTTTGGAGCTCTTTGTTCTTGTGCCTGGGCATGGCATGGCATTAGGCAGGCTAAGGAACTGATCCATCTCACAGCAACAGGTAAGAGGGCAGGTAACCTTGAAGAACCACTGGAACAGCAACGCAAAGGAAGGTTGTCTTCTCTCAGGTGTGCAGTCTCAACTGGCATCATATTGGGTCACCTTGCAGTACAATCCCCTAGTCATATCTTTGCACAGTCCATTTTTATAACTTATGAGTTATAGTCCATAAGAGCACATTATGTGCCTTGCAGGGCAACACCCCCCTTCCCGTAATCATAACTTAATGTGTGATGCTGCCATTTCACTCCAAAAGGGGAGGTCACATAAGATAGCAACATTCAGCACTCTGGACATGGGGTTGGCCCTGGTACGGGAAGCACACAACGCATCACAGAAACAGCATCTTGAGCAGGGTTCCCTCTAAGACGAGTTAGTGTGAGCTAGCTCACAGTTTTTTAGCCTCCGGCTCACACACTTTTGTCTTGGCTTTGTTTTAAGATTTTTCTTTTTCTGTAAAAAATCAATAAAAACTTATTAAGGAAGATTGTATATAATTTGTTACCTATATGTGTAATCTCTTTGTAAACCACCCTGAGCCCGCTCCAGCGGAGAGGGTGGGGTATAAATTGAATAAATAAATAAATAAAGCTATTCACAAACTCTTTAGTTTCTCAACAGTTTTCTGCACTGCATCCACAAGTATTTTTCCCCATTGTCCTCTTCTTCCATTACTTTCTCAACTCCTTCTAGCATGAGCTATGCCATGTTGAATCCCACAATACTCATCACCTCTACTTTCATTGTCTCATGTTTTAAGAGGTTAATTATGTTTCTATACTTTGTGGAAGATTTCACCAAATCACTTTTACTCTTAGGAACAAAGTCCTTAAAGTACTTCATAACTAAACTGAAAACAATCTGTCTTCTCACTGGGAAGTCATCATGTTTCCCCAAAAATGCAGTAATAAAAATGGAGAAACACAAACTGCATTCATAAAAATCAAAGAAAGAATGACTTTACTGACCAATTATTTTTTTAAAAAAACTGACAAATTACTGACCGAGATGAAAAAACTGACTTTTACTGATTTTACTGACCATTTCCCACCCCTGTGGTTGGCTCCGTCTCCTGCGGCAGCTATTTTGTGGTTGTGCTCACCAACCTGTGTCAGAACTCCAAATGTGCCCACATGCTTGAAAAAGTTGGGGACCTCTGCTCTACTTAGTGGGGCTTCCTCCCAGAAAAATGCTCTTAAGACTGAAGTGCAAAGGATATATGTTATTGTCATCCTTTGCAAACTTAAGACTTGTGGTCCTGTGACCTTTAGAAAAAGAGGAGTAATACTTTGTGGGGGAAATAAAGACATAATTATAATAAAATATCAAATCATTGTGCTACCTAGAAAACACTTTTACAACTCAAACATTCATTTGGTCATATCAATACATTTATTTCTAGTCATGTGTGGTATTTCAGTTCTATAACCATTTAATGATATACATTTTCTTTTGTGTAAGGTATTTATTGAAGTAAAAATACAACCCAGAACAATAATACATTCCAAAATGTCCTAATTTATTTCACTACACTAGACCGAACAGCAATATGTCTTGAGTATAAGCAATTTCTTGCCTATTCATTCATTTATAACTCTCCATAATCGTTAGTCTTTAAGGTGCTACTGGACTCTTACTCTTTTCTTCTCCATAATCTGTTTCTGCTTTTCAGACCTAGCATCATAGACAGCTTGATGTTCCCTCTTCCCTTAGCCCCAGAGAACACTATTAACTATTCACATTTCCCACAAACAGCTGCTCTGTTTCCCCTACCTAACTCCTAATCTATAGTTATATTAAATAGCCATTCCTCCATCCCGTTTAACTGGCATTTCTACCGTACAAGCCCTGCTATAGAGATTTAAATACTTCCTCGGAAGTCCATTCTTCATCTCGATGCATGACGGGAAATGTAGTTTCACTCTTCCCTCGGGCTCCTTTATATCGGCTGCCCCGAGATAGAGAAGGACCACAACTCCCCTGAGACCTTGCGGCAGCCACCACCCCCGTGCCGCGCAAGCGTGTTGGCGAGGGCTGCTTTTTGAATCAGCGGCGTTGTTATTGACGCCATATTGCTGGTGTGGACGAGTCACAGAGAGACACGGCGCGGCTGCCAGCAACGCCATCGCGCTTCATCGGCCACCCTAGGCCGGGTAACTTCCCATCCAGCTGCTCCCACCGGCCCAGACACCCTCCCGGATACGGCCCGGGGAGGATTTGCTGCGGGCGGAGCTCCAGAGTCCAGCCGGGGCAGGAGCTCCGGGCCGCTCCCTGGAGACTCAGGCCGCCGGCAAGAAGAAAGCCGAGGCGGCGCGTAGCGGGGGCGAGCCTGGCGCGGGGCGCCAGCGGCTGAAGGGGTGCCCCTCTGTCAGATCTCCCGGCCGCTTTCTTGGGTGGGGGAGGCCGCGCCGGTTCAGCCGTCGCCGCCCCCTCCTCCTCCTCCTCCTCGCCCCTTCCCCGGCCGCCCTCCTCCCTTCCTTCTCTCCTCCCCCCGTTCGGCTCGGCCATGGCCTGCGGGGCCACTTTAAAACGGACTCTGGAGTTCGACCCTCTGCTGAGCCCGGCCTCGCCGAAGCGGCGACGTTGCGCCCCATTGTCCGCCTCGGCGGCGGCCGCCTCCTCCTCCTCCTCCGCGGCCTCCTTCGCCTCGTCCCCGCAGAAGTACCTGCGCATGGAGCCTTCGCCTTTCGGGGAAGTGTCCACTCGCCTCACCACAGGTCGGCACAATGGAAATGGCCGCTCTCACCGCGGTGGGGGCGGGGAAGTGGCCTATACGGGAGAGGCCGCTGAAGGGGGCTGATAATGGGACTGAGCCGATAGATGTGTGCATAGAGGGGAGGGCAGAGGCTGCCTCTCTTCTTTCTTTCTCTGGTCTGAGAAGGGGGGGGTCCTCTGGGACGCTGCCGCACCTCCCCCCCCCTCCGCCCGGAGAGAGAGGGGGCCGCGGAGGCAATTATGAGTGGGGCGAGAAAGAGGAACTGGAGAAATGGTCGCCTCCGAGGAAGTCGGTCTGTTGCCTGGCCAAGGTTCTCCCGCTCGCGCTCCCCGCCCCTTCCCGATTGTCTGCCCAGCTTTCTCTTCCTCCCCGGTACAGGCAATCGATTTGTTGCAGCCATTAACGCTGGGGCGTGAGTGCGTTGCCTAGCCGAGACGGCCGCGTCGCCGCCTCCGACTCAAACGCCGGGGGAGGGGTGCGGAGCGGGGTCTGTCATCAATCACGCACGGCAGGCCGCTTGGCAGTGGCAGGGGCCGGTTCAACAACAAAAGAATTGCCCCCACCCCCCAATTAAGTCCACCTTTTCAATATTACCCATACAGGTCGCCCCAGTGAAAAACAATTGTGATTTTAGTAGGGCGTATATTGTCTCTGCCTCGAGTGGTTTTGAGAAGTCATCCATTATGATGAGGAAGCATTTTTAATGACTGTTAACAGTTAAGAGTAAATCAGGATATCTTCGCCCATGACACACTTAGCAATCTATAATGTCGGTATCAACGTGTACTGTATAAACATTTTTGGCATTTCCATGGTCAGACCACAGTGTAGTCGATTGTAACCGGTCTCACCTGGAGTCTTAGATATGTTCAGCAATCATAATCCTTTTTGTTTTGTGATACATATCTCCTTTCTCTTGTTTTCACCATTCTAGATTTACATTTATTAATTGCACGTTGGTTATTATCTTCAGCTGAATTTGTACTGATGTTTGTAGAACTGTGGGCTTTGAGTTACTTCTCATGATTATGTGTAGTAGGTAATGTAGCTTTTTAATAGTTTTCTTTCTCAAGTGATAAGAAATTGGTTAACAGTTTTCTATAGCTAGTCTACAAAATTGTTGTAGTTACATAGAACTGTTTGAATTGGTCCTTTGATCACATTTCTTACTAAACTCTTTGCAGAATGTTGAACCTAATTTGAAGTATGCTCACACAATATGTGTAAATTATCATTATCTTTCAGGCTAGGCTATATTTTGAAATGTTTGGTGCTATGATTAATGGTTGTGATCTGCAGGTCATGGAGGTGTTAGTGGATAGGAGCATGTCCTAGAGAAACGAGGCTCTTGCAAAATCTATGTTATGGATGTAATTGCTTATTACCCGTTTAAAGTAAAATATGGAAAACTTATTATGCCATAGCAGTACTATTGAAACTTTTATTAATTTCTAAAATGCTAACTGCAGTGTGGGAAATACATCCAGACAAAGCTGAATCAGTTTTAAACTCAATTGGAAGGGTCATCCAAAGCAGCCAAGTTTCTTCAAAGGAAATCTTGACAATGTGGAGCTGCTGAGTAAATCTTTGTGACAATTAGTGTAATCTGAGAAAATAGTTCTGAAACCCCAAACTGTTAAATATTCCACAAGAAAATTGGTGCTGTATGATGGTTTTTGGATTACAGGTCAGTTATGCATAAATCCAGTAAAAATTTCAGTCTGTGTCTAATCTTACTAGTCAGTAAATTAAAAGCATGGTAGATGAGGCCTAAAATGTGTTTAATAGGTAAAAAGCCCAGAAGCTGTCTAGTGACAGACCTAGTATTGGGAAAGATCTAAGAGTCAGTTGATGAGTATGTGTACTGTTGAATGTCCAGTAACATTGGTTTCTTTGTGTGAAATTCACAGTTCCTTACATAGGTATGATGCAAGGCTTGGCCACAATGCTGTCATAATGTATTACAGTATTTTTTCAGATTCAATACTAAGTCTTCCCCCAGTTATGCCATTAAAGGGGTGGTGGTGTTTGCCTTACATTCACATACAAGTTACAATTACATGTAGTTTTTTTGTGTATGCTATTTTAAGAGGGTTGTCTGTGTTTTGAGTAAATATGGTAATAGCTTTTATACTAAAAGAACTCTGATACAATATACAGATAGAAGATCTGAGGATATCCTTTATGCTGCTACTATCCTGCATAACTACTTTGTTGGCCCTGTTTACTGTCAAAGTATCATCCCATGTAAGGACTGTAGTACACACATCACAGGGTCACCAGTGGTGTACCCACCATCACCGTCAATACTGAGATTTGGTTACATATCTTAAGAACAAGTAAAAGCTCCCAGAATTTATATGACAATTTTGGCTTGGATCCCATCTAAAACAGAAGGGGCAGAGGCACTTTGCAAGATCCTCCAGCTCCCTCTCCCAGCAGCATTTTGGGGAGCATTTTGGACTGCAACTGTAGAAGATAGGGAAGTCATGCTCCATGGATAGAAAGCCTTTCATCTACAGAAATTTTATGTAGGGTCCAAGCCTAATTCTAGAAGCTTTTGCTCATTCTTGGAAACTGCTGTGCTATGTCAACAAGTCATGCCAATGGCATGGCCACTAATACACAAATATATCAAGAGGATATCTTTTATTCTGCTAGTATCTTGCATAGCTATATTGCTGGCGCATAGGCATTCATTTCAAGATGGGAGCAAGTTGAATTCACAGCATTGAAGATTTTTTGGATTTACTTGAACTTCCTGTTGATTTGTCTCAGTCCTTAACTTGAGTGCTTGGATGTATTATTTTGGTTCTTGAGAAACAAAGTCTATTCTGGACTGAGAGGGTGCATTATTAGAATCAAATACTTTATATTCAGCATAGTTGGTATTTGTAAATAAATGCTTCTAGTGGAGCAGCAACGAATGTTCAAAACATTACATCAAATAGGTTTATATTTGAACAGCTGCTATGTTGGCTTTGGTAGTCTCGATGCTGACCTGGCTTTCTTTATTCCTTTTGATCTTCTACCTGTTCACATCTGAAGAAAATTATGTGTTATAAAACTTGTAAACCAGAAATCTAGCTATGGTGGATTGATCACCTGTCAAGGTTTTGGCTAGATTGTTAACTCTACATTTACAGAACAAATAGAAGTGTGATAGACTGCCTGTACTGTTTTTCTGTGTTTTGTATTCTTGTATTGTTTCTGTATTCCTGTACTGTTTATAGGCCTTCAAATAAAAATTAATTAATAAAGATAAAATCTCATACCATTGTAAATCTCTGATAGTAGAGTTCTGCTTAGATAGCATACTAGGGCCTAGTTCTAGCTGAGATGGCAAACCTGTCTGGGCAATGCTGGCTCAGACTTCTAGCCAAAAAACAAAAATAATAATCTGCATAGATATCACGGAGATGGCGAGGCTAGAATCCTTCTCCTTGATGACTTTGTGTGTTGTTTTTTAAACTGGAGCTTTAAATATGGGACCTCCAAGTTTGAAGTGGTACTGCCTGTGAATAGGTTTACCATCTCTGAAAACTAGGCAAAAGTAAATGGATTATTTATCAAAGCAAGGATATTGCAGGACCTTTCTCCTTGGGTTATCAAGCCTGTTTTTGAGGTTGTTTAGTTCTAATACTACTACAGGGGTATTTTACACTTGCATGCTTATCATCTGATTTGCATATGAAAATGAGCCATTGCAGGTCTCAAAGCGCATGTAGAATTCTATCACCTCCAAACAGTCCTTTTCAGTGGAGCAACTTCACAAACTCAACTGTCAGTCACTAGAATTGGTTCTAACTTTTTTGAAGCTTTCTCCACTATTCTGAAGTTTTATAATTTGGAAAAATAAAGAACTGTAACCTCATCTCAAAGCTAATTTGGCTGTGCCTTGTATTAAATATACAAATCTCTGTTCTTTGGAATATAAATGTAAACAAAATAATTGGCAGGAAGTATAGTTGGGTTTCTAGGGAAAAGCAGTGGCTGTATCAGCAGGAAGTAGAAGACAGGAAACCTTGAAAATAACTTGTAATAACGTGGAAAAACATTAAACTTTAGGTCAGTTGTCCTTTGCAAAAGCCTTATTCAAACCTATGTGGAAATAGTTTATACTCTTCAGTTACATATGTCTCTGTATTTCCAAGTTTCCAACTCACCTTCAGCAAGAGACCACTTCTTTTTTTTACAATAGGATTGCATTTTTCTTCACACCAGCCAAAAACGAAGCAAAAATAGTGGTGGCACTGACAAGACCAACATATAGGTTTTCCCAGTTGGCCTTTGAGCTAATCAATAACTAAACAGATCTGACTGTTCTCTATCTAGATGCTACGTAGTGAAACTGAGGGGATCATAAAGAATGGATGTCATTGCAGCTACCTTGGAAATGCTAGGTCTTGAATCATAACTATTACTCTTTCAAGCACAGGCTGAAATTAGAGGTGACAAAGTAATTGCCATCATTTGGAATGGAAGTGGTGTGTCACCCTTATTGAAATGACAAACAACAATTATTGTTTGCACCATCTTTTATTCTCCAATAGAGGTCATGTATTCATTGAACCAGTATGGAAACTGGAACATAATCATAATTATCCAGGAGTTGCTGCCTAGGGGTTTTGCCATGGTGATTCTGTGATATGCTTACTCTGGAATGGGAAAATCCTTAGTAAGTCTTTGTATTAGGCCTCGTAGTAGCAACTAATTGCTTCTCAGAGGCAGAATTCTTGAGACACTCAAGTCATTCCTCCTCCCCCTTTAAAGGTTTACTTGTCACATATAACTTGAAAGTGCCAACACATTGGAATAATGTTTTTATTGATAGGAATATCTTTAATATTACCTTGAGCATAAACTTAGTCACTGCAAAGGTTGACGTGCAGCATTTTTGTCTGTTGCCCCACAACCTGGCATGTCCAGCAACCCTGGTTCTGCATGCAGTTCTGGTATTAACACAGGATCTGCGCATCAACATGTACCTTTTAATGTGGA